TGGCCTCACTACGTCCACAGTTGATAGATTTTCATTCTTTTTTTTTTTTTTTTTTTGGTCATCATAATTACAAGGCTGCTGCGTCTCTGTAAGGGTAAACTTTCAGTGACAATTTGAAACAAAAAAAAAAATCTTCCATACAACCTCTCTGTGCATGTAATCACTGTAAAGCACTTTGTCTTTACGCTTTATAAATGAATAAGTCCTGTGCTCAGGTCTCTGCTCTGGCTCCTGTGGCTCAGAGACTTTAAAGCAGCTCTGTTTGTACAAGTGTCTCCATGGCCGAGCACCAAAGTCCATCTGTGACATGTTAGTGTCATATGAACATCTCACACTCTGAGGAGCTCAGGGACCAACTCCTGCTGGTGCCCAGAGTCACGACTAAACAAGGGGAGTCAGAGTTTCAGGCTCATGCAACTAAAACCTGGAACAGTCTGAACATGTGAGACAGACTCTTCTGTGACGCTGTTTAAATCCAGACTCAAAACGGTTCTGTTTCACTGTGCATGTGACTGAAAGGTTTTCATTCTTCACTCTTCTCTCTAATTTATGTAATTAATGTCTTTCTCTCTTTTTTAATTTTAATCTTTAATTTTGTGATGATTATTTATGTTTTGATTTGTTTTTATTGTGATTTTCTCCAAGACCTTTAATCTGGCCCTCGGCTGATTTTCTACTAAAATATTTTAATTATATTTTCTATTAAAATCTTGTTAATTTTCTGTGGTGTTTATCACAGCAGCGTCTCCAGTGTCTCTGTACGTGGCCCCTCCCACCAGAGCAGCACAAATGAAGACTTGTCTCTTTCCAAACGCTCTTAAAGGACGATCATTTTGACTGTTGACCGTGACACCCTCATCAGAAAAATGTCCAACATGAGAAAAGTGAAGCCGAGTGCAGGATTTTCATAATATTATAATATTTTGTAAAAGAAAGAGTTCATCAATTAAAAAAAGATTTCTGTAATAGATTTGTGTTTCTCTGCTCAAATATTTGAACTTATTGTTATTTTGGGGTTTATATGACATGAGTTTTCTGATCCGGCCCCTTTGGGATCAAAGTAGGTTGGATACGGCCCCCGGACCAAAATGAGTTTGACACCGCTGGTCTAGAGTATTCTGATTCCTGATCTAGTCACTGGAGAGACATGAAATAGAGTGGAGGCACTAGGTGGTGCCAGACTGGCTAGATCCAAATGACATTTTTGTAGAACAGAACCTGTTTTTACTCTAACTTGTTTATTTAAGTAACATTTACTTGCTCAATTCAAGGCAATCGGTTTCCTCATATTCCAAAGTTACAACATATTTCAGATTTGAGGAAGTGACTGATTGGTTGTCTCAGCTTCACAACATGGTTCTATGAATGAAAACTAAAGTTCACTTCACTTGCTGTGCCTCAACACATGAAAGAGGAATTTACTGAACACTACACTGAGGAATTAGTTAAGCTCATCTTTAGATTCTTACTCCACTATAGGCGAGTTTCATTGTTGACAAAAGCGCGCGTTGCATACTGAGAATTATATTGGTCGGCGGCAAGAAACACTAATTCAACATGACGGACGGAGCGAGAAAACACGTAAAGGGTATTGATCCCGGTTATTTATCCACTCTAACAGCAGAGGACCCAAGACCATTTGACCAGAAATTGGTCATAAGCATCGATGGAGCCAAATCACCCTTTTTAACCCCGACAGAGCCTGGACCAAACCAAATTTCTGGTCTGAATCACCAACTACCTGGACAAATATTCACTTGGGCGATGTCCACAATGACTTGGTGGAAACTCCTGGGCCATTCACAGCAGAAAAGATGAAAACCTCCAAGAGTCTCGATGTGTTGTTGAACTTGTTGGAGTCCACGGTTTGTTAGGATCTTCTACGTTTGCTCTGCGGATGTTTGAAAGTCGTTTAATTCACCGTTAGTGGTTCTTTTCACTCAGAATATGGAAAAGACATTTTCCTTCTTCCGTGCTTCTATTTGTGCATCTGATAATGCAGCAGGAATTTACCATTATCGGGGAGAAATACGTGAGGTTACGCACTGTGTTTGACCGCTACTGTGTTTCTTGCCTCCGACCAAAATATTTCCCAGCATGCAACGCGGGCTTTTAATAACAATGACGTCAGCTGAAACTCGCCTATAGCCCAATTTTTCAAGACAATCAGTTTCCTAATTTTTTCAATGAAGTGTGACTTATTAGATTTGACAGTGTATGGTGATACACATGTGAAGAAAGAACAATGGTCCACATGTGTCCACATCTGCAGCAGTATTGATATGGGTAATTGTGCGTGCGTGGATTAGCTCTAATGCATCGTTTTCTGATTCCATCTCAACAGAAATCAGCAGCGAGGGAGGAGACAGGACCCAGCAAAAACTTAGGAAACATGAGCCTGATTATTTAAAGTTCGGTTTCACCTGGTCAGGTTCCGAGACTGCGCCTCTCCCACAGTGTGTGGTCTGCAAAGAGGAGCTTGTGACCATGAGACCTGCAAATTTCAGCGTCACACTGAGACAAAGCACGAGGATTTAGTGAACAAGCCAATAGAGTTTTTGAGAGGAAACATGATTTGCATTCACAGAAAAACATTATGCAGTCGTTTGGCACTAGGGTCTGGTCAAGTGGTAACGGAGGGAAACAGGGGCAGATTTTTGACATTCAAATGTCTCTTATTCAGAAACTAGAGGGACTATTGAAATAAGTAAAGTATCAGAATGTAGGAAAGAGTTACACTCCAACAGGGTCAAGTTAAACCTGTGATATTCTTTCAAGTTGTTGACAAAAAATTTATAAACTCATGTCAGTAACGGAGGGAATGAAATATGCAGCACTTTTTGGGCAATAAATCCAAACAGTGATAACTCTTGGTTCTCACTTCCATATCCTTAACAAACTGGTTTGAATATTTACTTCATATAGTTTTCTACCATATGGTACAAGATTAGGTTGAAAAACCTCTTTCTTTTTGAGTCATGAGATTTTTTATTAATAAAGGTCATGGTAACAGAGGAAAAAGTAACGGAGGGAAAATTGTACAAACAAGTAGAAGGTGCAGGATTTTACATCATTTGTTGCTTTTTTCTTCTGAATACTTTAATATTACTTCAAAATGAAAGGAAACTATTTCTATGAAATATGTCAGTCCTTCCAAGCAAATTTGTATCATTTTAAATACTTTTTTTTCCTTTTAAATCCTGTACCTTCATCAACAGTTCAAAGATGGAATAACACAAGATATGATGAAATACATCCATTTATTTACATGATTTGCAGGTCTTTGAAATTTGGGAAATAATTTTTGTTCCATGTTTCATACATGGTCTGTTTAAAACATATGGAACTTTAGAACCAAAAATGGTACAGAAAAAAGGTCAACAGTTTCATAAACTAGAGTACATATGTATCTGTTCAATACATTTTTATATCAGATGCATTAACTTGAATTTTTGGCCTTGTTGTTTACTTCTGTTTGACCGGACCCACTAGTAACATGAAAGCAACTGAAGCATCTTATCGTGTAGCGAAGGTGAGCAAGCTCCATAACACTGGAGAAACATTACTACTCCCTGCTGTTTTATTCAAGACCACACGCTTAATACAAGGCCCAGACATGTGCCGATTTCAGCGGTAGTTTTGGCACCGATTACAAACGTTAAGCCTGTTCTGTTGATTCGGATAGGCCTCCTGATGTTCAATGATTAGGCCTGCATGAAGTTGGAAATCATTTTCTGTTGCAAAAATCAAGCACAATTTGAGTTGGAATGACTATCAAATCGTAAATGCTGCAATTATTCAGATGATTAAATGTGAAATAACAAAATGTCCTGTTTTTATCTTCTTTCTATGCAAACGTTTTGTCATCCCTGTAGTTTAAACCTCAGCAAACATGTTCTGAAATACATGGGATTCAGTTTATCACTTCCTACTTCTTTTCTCAAACGTTAACACTACGGGAGTTATTTAAAATGTGGACTCTGAACAGAATCCAAACATATTTCAAATGCAAATGCTGTACTTACTGAAAATGTGTAATTTGAAAATCCTACAGCCCTAAATGGAAAATGGAACTGAAACTGTAGATGTTTTCTGTGCATCGTTACTGATCTCTCCCGGGACTATTCAAACCCTCCTCACGGTTAGATCGAAGATTCTGTACAATGCTCCACCCACAAGACAAAAAACAGGTCTGCACCAGGACTCGACAAGACCACAACGGTGACAGAGAACAACAACCATGATGTGTCCAGGATTACAACCAGCAATATCAAAATGCAAAGCAGGTCCAATCAAGGTCTAAAGCAGGACTAAACCAGGTCTAAAGCAGGACTAAAGCAGGTCTAAACCAGGAATAAAGCAGGTCCAAAAGGTCTAAGGCTAAAGCAGGTCTAAAGCAGGTCTAAAGCAGCAGAGGTCAAAGCAGGTCTAAAGCAGGTCTAAAGCAGGTCTAAAGCAGGTCTAAACCAGGAATAAAGCAGGTCTAAACAGGTCTAAAGCAGGTCTAAAGCAGGTCCAATCAAGGTCTAAAGCAGGACTAAAGCAGGTCTAAAGCAGGTCTAAACCAGGACTAATGCAGGACTAAAGCAGGACTAAAGCAGGACTAAACCAGGTCTAAAGCAGGTCTAAAGCAGGTCCAATCAAGGTCTAAAGCAGGTCTAAAGCAGGTCTAAAGCAGGACTAAACCAGGACTAAACCAGGTCTAAAACAGGTCTAAAGCAGGTCCAAAGCAGGTCTAAAGCAGGACTAAACCTGGACTAAACCAGGTCTAAAGCAGGTCCAAAGCAGGTCTAAACCAGGTCTAAACCAGGTCTAAAGCAGGTCCAAAGCAGGTCTAAAGCAGGACTAAACCAGGTCCAAAGCAGGTCCAAAGCAGGTCTAAAGCAGGACTAAACCAGGTCTACACCAGGTCTAAAGCAGGACTAAACCAGGACTAAACCAGGTCTAAAGCAGGACTAAACCAGGTCTAAAGCTTAACTTCTTTGAGATGTTGCACTTACATTGTCTGTTCGTAGTTTCTTGGCGGGGCAGCCTCCGTCCACAGGGTGGAGCATGTAGTACAGGCGCACTTTGTTGGCATGTTTCCGACTCTGCAGAGGAAAAGAGAACAAGGATAGTTTTAGACAGAGAGGAAAGATAGATGAGTTACTTTTCTGAAAACCACCAAACCAGTAGAAGAATAACAATCATTTTGGAACACTGAAACATCCTCCATAGAGATAGAAAAGTTTTATGCCATACTGTGGAATATTAGAGTCCAAGGAAAAACATTTCCATGGAAACAAGTTGGAGGAGGTCAATATCCAGGACAAAAAAACAGGTTTGTGGAGATCTAAAGCCCAACCAGAGAGAAGACTTTAAAAGATAATAGAATGCACACACAGTTCAAGTGTACTTCCAGACATTTAAAAAACATCATGTAACACTTTTATGGTTACCGTATTTTCCGGGCTATTAGTTGCTCTGGATTATAAGGAGCACTGTCATTAAATGGTCTATTTTCTAACTTTTTTCACAAATAAACCACACCGGACTTTAAATGAAACACAACAGTTGGATGGGTCAGTGGGACTTTGTTTGTTTGTGTCGTTCACGGTGACTCTGGGCTTTGTTCAGTTGTGGTGTGTAGGGAGGGTGTGTCTGGGACCAACGGATTGTCGGTGTGTTCGCAGTGACTCAGTTGTTCAGTTGTGTCTAGAAGTGGCACATTGCACTCGCTTTTTCGGTTCGTTCCTCCGTTCCGTTCCTCGTCGGCGTGGAGTGATGAGTCTGTCTGCTCCGTGTGTGTTTGCGTGTTCTGCGGGTGGTGCGGCTTTGTAGTTTACTGAAGTCGGGTTGGGACACCCGAGTGGATTCGTGTATGGGGTGCGCTGGATTGTGGGACGCGCGGTCGTTCTTTGATGGGGTTGGAGGCTAAAGAGCGCGTCTAATAGCCCGGAATTCGAGCGCTGTCACGATACTACATTTACGATACTAACATTTCAAACTTGATTTCGACACTAAGGAGTAGACTTTATTTTCAGTCCCGACTCAGATTTCACAAGATGACCATAAAAGTCTCTTTATTAAAACAATAGAATGTGATTTTCAACATGTTATATGTGTGTAATCCTCTGTGGTCCATGGGCATATACCAGAAATGTCTTTTTAGGGTCATTTTATTCGTCCAGTCTGGGTCCACTGAAGGTGCAGACTAAGACACCATATGACGTCTCAGAAATAACATTTGTTTTTCTTACGGTGATGCAGAAAAGAGGAGCCATTGTCTGTGTGTCAGTGGATCTGATGTTCAACCAATGATCTTTTATGTGGACAGTGGGATTCAAACCACCAACCTTCAGATCAGTGAACAAACGCACTGCCAACTGATCTACATTGTTGCCCACCAGTGTCGCCCTTTTAGTCCGTTTTTATAGTTGAACTCAATCTTCCACATGACGTTCAGAACAGTCACCTAATCTGCAGTTCAAATGTTTTTTTGTTTTTTTTTATTTGCAAACTACATACATTTACAACAAATAGGAACCAAACAATGTACAAAATACAAGACAAACATTGAAGATGACATACAAATAGGGACAAAGGTGACAGGGGTTGGTGGTTCAAATGTTTAACGCTAGATTAATGTACAAGTGGGTCATAGTTGGACGTCCAAATAATGGACACAATTTGCATGTCATTTTTTAGTCCATAATTGGTTTTGAACTGTCGGATGCAATATAAACATGATCTGCACGTCCATAAGGTGTCTGTTGTTTAGTGGGCGTCTGTGTGGTCTCTTTGGAAAAGGTCCTATGAATGTAACTTTGTACTATTGATATCTGCCCAAATGAGTATCTAGTTTTGATCTAGTTTTAGAATTAATCTGTGTATGATTTTCCATACTTTCGACCCTAGTTCATACAGCTTGTAATGTACTGTTCTCTACTTTACTACATTTGACTCCTCACTTTTGTCCTTTGTATGAGATGTTTTTTTTCATGATGTAAACTTGTTCTAGTTGATGTATATACTCTAGGGTGACCATATTTCTGTTTGTGAAACCCGGACACCTTACTGGGGGTGGGGGCGGAGCTACTGTCGTCTCTCGCTATATCGCGGTTCATCTTTCGTGGTCTCACTGTTTCGCAGATTTTTGGGGGGTTTTCTGTGCAGTTTTGCATGTTTTTTTTTGTTTTTGTTTGTTTTTTTTGTTTTTTATGTATTGTGTATTACGGGCGGGTAGTAATTACACACAGGTGGGTCAGGACTAAACCAGGTCTAAACCAGGACTAATCTTGGATTTAAGAGAGAGAACGCCGAGCATTTGTCCGCAAAGCACGATCGGGCAATTGCCGCTCACTCCACGAGGTGCTGAGCTGAGCCGGTCCTTTCTCCTGCAGTCACCCCCGAGCCCGTCCTGTCCCCACAGTGAGTCCTGTTCCAGTTCTGGTTTAGTCCTGGTTTAGTCCTGTTTTAATCCTAGTTCAGTCCTGGATTAGTCCTTCTCTTCAGTCCTGGAATCAGTCCTGGGTTAGTCCTGGTTTAGTCCTTATAGTCTTAATTAAGTTCGTGGCGTATGCAGCGCAAAAGTTTGATATAATCTCGGGTTAACAGGCGGGTGCGGTCCTGTACTGCGGTCCTGTACTGCGGTCCTGTACTGCGGTCCTGTACTGCGGTGTCGTACTGCGGTCCTGTACTGCGGTCCTGTACTGCAGTCCTGTACTGCGGTGTCGTACTGCGGTGTCGTACTGCGGTGTCGTACTGCGGTGTCGTACTGCGGTGTCGTACTGCGGTGTCGTACTGCGGTATTGTACTGCGGTCCTGTACTGCGGTCCTGTACTGCGGTGTTGTACTGCGGTGTTGTACTGCGGTCCTGTACTGCGGTGTCGTACTGCGGTGTCGTACTGCGGTGTTGTACTGCGGTGTCGTACTGCGGTGTCGTACTGCGGTGTTGTACTGCGCTAAACCAGGGATCACTGTACTCTCACTTCGCAACCTGTGCACGTGGCCTCCCACTTATCCGAAATGGGACGGAAAATGGAGAATTTCTTGTACAAATCATCGTTAAATGTGCATTTGCGCTTCGGCATGTTGCAGACTGACCGACTGTTTGTGTCTCGCTCCTTCTGAGTCACAGACGCTACGAGAGACGCTCAGTTTAATGGCCACAATGAACAGTAATAAAAACCCGGACATTTCCATCACTTAAAAAAAAAAAAAAAAAAAAGCAGACGCCATGGACAGGACGCAAAAAACAGACATTTAGTCACCCTAATATACACTATCAGCCGCTGTTTAAATCACCATAGAGCTGCAGGGACAATTCATTTATTCAAATCATTCCAATCCGTCTCGTTGCTTCATCTGTATTTAAATTAGCTCGGAGAAGAAACCCAGACATATTCATAAGGTAAGATGGTCTATGTGAAATCATATGCAGCAGTGTCAGCGCCCAGACCTGAGCGGGGCACCGGTGATTTGTAAACAGCAGGTAATGACTGTCTCGCTGTAATGAGACTCAGATGAAGGATCACCAAATTATCTGGCGCCCCGTTCGGTCTGATAGTACACGCACAGGTCAGGCCGGGGTGTGGGAAGTAACAAATGAATCGGTTCGCTCAAAGAAGACATATTGTGCTTGTGTGTTTTACGTGAGCATTAAAAAACGAGGAGCAGAGCGTTATGGAGTTTTAACCCACGTCTCCGAGTTGTTTGACGAGTTTATACCACAGCTACAAACTGAAATGTTCCACTGTCTGTAAATGTGTCAAATATCAGTTATTTCAGTGTTTTAAATGAAGTTAGTCCCGACATTCTGCTCCGAACAAACTTGTTTAGAGGTCAGCCACTTTTTTGACAGACGTGCACAGATTTTCAGATGCTTGCATGTGGATCTTTATTTATAATTTGAACATTTTAATATTCATCTAAAACCACTTAATAAAAGAAACAAGAGTCTGTCAAGAAAATAAAACTGAAGAACGATGTAAGTACAGATCAGTGGAATGGTGGTAATATTACACCAGTCGGAAAAAGGAGGAAGAAGGAGAGAGAGGAAATCCTGGGTTTCAGTCTGGGTTTATTTAGAATGGTTTGTGATGAAATTGCAGTGTTGGGAAGGTGACTTTTAAAATAATAATATTCCCCTACAGATTACAGATTACACACCCCAAAATGTAGTTTGTAACAGAATCCATCAAGTTACTTAAAGTGAGTAACGTAATCTGAATACTTTGGATTACTTGATATTGTCATGCTTTTTAAAACTAAATGAATGTAAAAACCACATCCTGAAAATTCTTGTTTGTTTTCTTCAAATTGTCGATTGAGCCAAAGTCTCCATGAACAGGATTTTGTTTACTGTAGAGAAGCAGAGACGAAGATGTTTTATCTGCTAAAAGACAAAAAAAAACATGTCTTTCCTTAAACATATTGAAAATATTATTGATAGAGAAATGATTTTTATATGAGATCACTGCTGCCTTCAATTATGTCCACCTACTGTTAGTGTCATATTCTTTAGACCTGGTTTTAGTCCTGTTTTAGTCCTGGTTTAGTCCTGTTTTAGTCCTGTTTTAGTCCTGGTTTTAGTCCTGGAAAAGTCTGACTGGATATATTATAAAATAACCTGAGAAACTCTGTTCTTATTTTCACTAAATAAAACTTCTGTAAATCATTGAACCAAACACATTCATACATACACATACATACACATACACTTACACATACATACACATACACAGACATACATACACATACACATACATACACCATACACTTACACATACACCTACATACACATACACATACATACATACATACATGCACATACACACACACATACATACACATACATACACAAACACATACATACATACACATACATACACACACATACATACACATACATACACAAACACATACATACATACATACACATACATACACACACATACATACACATACACACATACATACACATACATACATACACACACACATACATACACACACATACATACACATACATACACAAACACATACATACATACATACACATACATACACACACATACATACACATACACACACATACATACACAAACAC